GAAAATTGCTAAAAGCGGCGTAAAACTAAACTCAGTCAGTCAGTCAGTCAGTCAGTCAGTCTTGTAGTGGGTTTTGTCTGTACAAACAAGGACGCATGTGTAACAAACCGTGACGTATTAGACGGGATTCCTATTATTCCTCATCTAGAAGTGTTCACCCTTTTTGGTGATGCGTCTGTTCGTTGGCATTGGGAACCGTTCATGGAGGTTACAACATCATCATCATCATCATCCTTGAAACATACAGGTCATCTTTGGAACAGGTCAGCGTATATTTAGCATTTAGGGCACAAACCGGCACTAAACACATAGACCGAACTCCTCTAAGGCTTAGAACGGAATGACTGAGTTTATGGGATGTATTTGGCACTAGACATTACAATACTTCCATTACAATACTATTTAGCTTAGCTAAATAGAGAAGGACGTATATCACTGGAAAGATATATATTACTTTGGAGAACCATCATTTAATTAATCATTCTTACTTCACGTTTTAAAATTTCTTTAAGTGATAATTGTAAGACAACATATTGGACATTAACGCCAAGCTACATCTGAGATGTAGATGTAGAGTCATATTATCCCATCATGGGTAATCTGATATTTCCTCTTCACTCGCGAAACAGCCATGGCAGTGAGATTATGCGCTAGGGTTCATTTGGTTCCAGAGGGCATATCTTGTGTTAGGAATGGACGAACATTCCCGTAGGTTGGAAATTCGCCTGACGCCATGGAGGTTTCTGGGTGGAAAGTATGACAGAAGATGTGCAAGGCTTTCCCGGGCTATGTGGATTTGGTAGGGACCATTGGACGTGTAGTGACGGGGATTGATATTAGATATCTCCGGCTTTCCCAGGGCTATGTGGATTTGGTAGGGACCATTGGAGATAATGGTGACGAGGATTGACAGTAGATATCTCCGGCTTTCCCAGGGCTACGTGGATTTGGTAGGGACCATTGGACGTGTAGTGACGGGGATTGATATTAGATATCTCCGGCTTTCCCAGGGCTATGTGGATTTGGTAGGGACCATTGGACGTGTAGTGACGGGGATTGATATTAGATATCTCCGGCTTTCCCAGGGCTATGTGGATTTGGTAGGGACCACTGGACGTGTAGTGACGGGATTGACATTGATCCGGTAGATATCTCCGGACGTAGTGATTTGGATTTCCCAGGGCTACGTGACGGGGATTGATATCTCCGGCTTTCCCTGGACTAGGGACCACTGGACGTGTAGTTGACAGTAGGATCTCCGGCTTTCCCAGGGTAGTGACGAGGATTGATATTAGATATCTCCGGCTTTCCCAGGGCTATGTGGATTTGGTAGGGACCATTGGAGATAATAGTGACGGGGATTGACATTAGATATCTCCGGCTTTCCCAGGGCTATGTGGATTTGGTAGGGACCATTGGACATAATGGTGACGGGGATTGACAGTAGATATACCTTGAGCTTGATGGTGGACTTTGAAAGACAGTGACGGTACTCTGTAACACACTTTCTGTGGCTTGCAACGGGACTTGGGGAAGTTTGATGTCTGTAGACGATATTCAACAGACTGTCTGCACTGGGAAAGGTTTATGGAGTTTAGGAGACGAATTATTCCCGCAGACGAAACAAATCATGGCTCCATTCAGCATATTGATAAATCTATCAAGTACATTTGACTGCAGACACACAGACGCTTGGTTAAATAAAAACAAAAGATTAATGACAACGTCGTTGGGCTGGGATTCCTGGATCTAGCTGCAGCAGTTTATGGCCTGATGCTACGACTTGCCTTTCATGGGCATCAGCATTATCTTAAGCCTGTCCGGAAATATTCACAGACGGCTTTACTAGTTTTTGTCTTGTCGTCCATAAACCCAAGGACCGTAATGAGCGCGGCGTATCTCAGGGCAACTATCTCACTTCCGGGACATGTTCAGAAAGTATTGAAATGCCACTGAGCTACTACCAACGAGTTAAACGGTGGTCCCACCTACATCACCTTATACAGCTAACATCATACTACGCTAAAGCTTTGTCAAGTTTTCAAATCCCGGAAACTTTAACATTACTCCTTACAAAAACCTAATCTAAAAAAATGCAAATCAAGTCCTTGAGTGAATAGAATTTTCGAGCAGTCATCTCGCGGTAAATTGTTTTTAATACTTTCACAAACTCAATTATATTACCAGTATCACTCGGCCTATAAGGTAATAAATCAATATCACTTCTGGAAAAAAATCTGAATGGAATCTGAAGAGGAAATTATCCCGTTTGTAAAGAATAAACATTAAACAAAAAACGTGCGGAAAATATTCTATTTACCGAGACTATCTGACGATTTAAATCATCAGTCATCGACAAGTTAGCATGGCTGCAGGAGTTAGTGACTGGACATAAAAACGATGCCTTGGTGGCGCCCTGGACGTATTTGTAAATGTGCAACGTGTTCTCAGCCATTAACGACACCACGCAAGCACACTCTCAAACTTCATTTTATCATGTACAGTCAGAATACGTCTGAGTTAGGGCCAAGATTCAGGTAGTTGGGGACGCAGAAACGCCGTTAGCTATGCCGCCTTGTTAACAACACAGATATGATTTGTTGGGTAATAACACCCTGTATTACTGCGTCTGTTATCGGGATGGTAATGGGTACTTTCAGTCCTATATTAAGACTTATTCCATATAGCAATAACTATCAGTGACAATGCCGCAGATCACTTGTCGGACTGGTGTAATAGATATTAGTAACAAAAATAGCCCCAGTTCGATTATTTTTTCTCATTACTACTTTCGTAATGTCTTTTATACGGTTGACCGATCATTTCACCGTTAGATTTAATCAATCATAGTCTTCTGCCGTAGTTATATTTACCTGCGTCAAGACACCTCGATACAAAACAATTAACCTTTCACTTTTTTCTTCAGTATTCTTAGTATCTCACAGAGGGCAGTGGTAGATGCTAGCAAATGCAGACAAATTCATCAACATTGTGACATCGGATTGGTAGCCGCTAAACCATGCAGTCCACCGTTACTCAGTAGGGAGTAAATACACCGTATAGGGTTCTTCAATAACAATTCCAATACAAAGTACCCGCCCACCCAGGACCAGGAAGTGCGTGTATTAAACGTTAAGCGTGTAAGAAACGGTTTGACATTTCAGTTAGGTAATATAGTATTCCGGGATCACGTTACTGTGGAGATACTGGACTTCCATTCCACTGTCCGACCTTCCCCAGAGACCAGTCCAGGAGATATTACAAAGGATTCTGATGTCATTATCTCATCTTCCGCTACGTTAATTACAAACTGACCACTCGGGTATCCTCAGTGTTGGCCAATTCTGTTTTATTTGGCACAACGGTCGCGTCTGTGTCCTGTCAGTTGGGCCCATGAGCCTGACCACGTCTGGCTGTTACTACGTGAAGGATCAAATACTGTATTCTCGTTCTGACCACTATTACGCAGCGCTGTTGTAGTTTTTCAAGTACAAATAAAACAATTCGAATACTCTTCATAACGTGTCCAAATGTTAACCCGCCAAAATTCATTCAATCAATATTTTTGAAGTTTACATCGCGTGTTTCGTGGTGTGTGAAAAGAAGCTACTGCGAATGTCAGTTCAATCAAACCCATTTTTCTAATCAATTGTAACCTTCGCCTCAAAGACGTTGGAAATGTAACATCAGTAGCACAACATATGGTGCCGACTCAAATACTGAATAACTGATGGTATAACGGTATTTATCTCGTCAAAAAGGAAGTTCCACCACACACACACACACACACACACACACTCACTCACTCACTCTCTCTCTCTCTCTCTCTCTCTCTCTCTCTCTCTCTCTCACTCTCTCTCTCTCTCTCTCTCTCTCTCTCTCTCTCTCTCTCTCTCACACACACACACACACACACACACACACCCTAACAGCCCCATCGGACAATAATGGCTACAAACTCAACTACGTGAATACTTTCCCATCTCTGAACGTTTAATCTAAACATATAAAACATCAACCTGCTGATATGGTTCTTTTAACCTGAAGGAAGCATAAATTGAATTGGATCGCTTCCTGGGAATCTGCAAATGTCAAAATTGTCAACAAATCTTTCAGTGAAAGGATATGATCGACGGAGCGGGGTCTAGCAGCATAACTATTACTAATAACTGTCTCGGAGTGAATATCAGCAGTGTGAGGTTGACAGCCCCCCGTGTTTGTCTCGGTATATGTACCCACATGTCTTCACGCATACTTCCACCTTACAACATATCACGCCGGTCTAGGACTGACAGCAGAGGCTAGCTAGGACTTAAAAGTATTGAACAGATACACATTCACGATCAATGTGTCTGAATGTGTATCAAAGTGTACATTGTGCGAAATTATATTTGAAAAGAACTCATAAATATGTCCCGTTGCCGGCGTCAAGGGTGCGCCCGTTTGTAAAATCTGTTTTGATAAATGTCTACCCCGCCGAGGGAACAAAGAATAGGAAAGATACCGATATTAATCACTCGGCGTGAAGTGCACCTTCTGACACGTGCTTGACATTCGATGAAATCGGCTTGATAAAGTTGTCAGAGGCTATGTATATTCAATACAAGAAGAAGCTCCCGTTTAGGGTATTGATGTCACAGATATATCACTTACACGTCCTTCACACGCTTCACATGAAGCATCAGTAAGTATGTAATCAGTTTAAAGTATATCAAACAGATCCCTAGATAAGCGAAAGTGTTTCAGGCACCAGTTCCAGAGCAGATAACCGTTAAAATCACAAATTCACAATTTCATAACATACTGAGTTGGCAGAGTCGTCCTGGCGAAAACATAATATATCTATATTTAATTACACCTAATGGTTTTCACACATCTCGAGGAAAGCATGCGAGATTCCTGCCAGACTAAACTTTGAACGTACTGAAAAGTCTATACAACGGATGTAAGAGAAGCTGACAGAATACTGAGGGTTGGCAAAAGAACATGTAATAACCCACCTGTTGATGTTAAGTCCAATAGTGTATATCCTTTCCACCAAGTCTAGCACAGCGAGTCGACCGTACGCCGCACATGCATCAGACTCCACCAATCAACAGAACAACGGTTAGCCACTCACACAGTGACTCGAGGCGTCAGCTGACAACCTGTGCTACTCCCTTCCAATTCTCGCTCTCCTCACAGCTCACACAGGACACACACAAAACTCGAAGAAAGACCGCCTCCTTTTTTCCTCAGGTCAAGCGTGGCGATACACCAATATAAGCCAATATCTGTTTAGCGTCTCTCGCTCCCTTTCATTGTGATGGATAAACAACTACCATAGCCCGCCCCATACCGCCGTCTTCGCAGCTGTTACCGGTTCATTACGGGGCTGACAAGTTTGGAATATCTATTTCTTGTGTGCAAACTTCCCGCGTCCCTCGTCGCTTGGTTTGCAGAGGAGGCTGGCGATTGTTCGGATGCTGGAGCTACGAGAGAGGTGCTTTCACTCGCCTCTCGGCTGGTGTAGTTTCGCTGCTGTCGAGAGGGGATGAGATCCGCACTTTGGTGAGAACGGTGGTAGAAATGTAGGGGGAGTAACTCTGTAAAATGTTGGTTTACATTTGTAATTAGCGTCACAGTGCCTTGTGTGACAGAAATGTCATGGTATGCATGAATCAACATGTATCCTTAATTGTGGTCATTTCCTGAAGATGCTATACCGACAGGGATTGGGATAGATATAGTTCAAGGTGCACATACATCTGCACAGTTGCACCTACAGAACAATAGGCAGACAAGTAGAGAGACAGCGACAAACATCAACATACTGATCTCAGATGAGATATGTACGTACTATGACAGATGGATAGATAGATAGATGGATGGATACTGCTCCCAGAAGAGATGTGTACGTACTATGACAGAGAGATATATAGATAGATAGATATATAGATAGATAGATGGATACAGCTCTAGGAAGAGATATGTACGTACTATGACAGATAGATAGATAGATGGATACAGCTCTAAGAAGAGATATGTACGTACTATGACAGATAGATACATAGATAGATAGATGGATACTGCTCTAGGAAGAGATATGTACGTACTTTACAGATAGATAGATAGATGGATACAGCTCTAGGAAGAGATATGTACGTACTATGACAGATAAATATATAGATAGATAGATAGATGGATACTGCTCTAGGAAGAGATATGTACGTACTATGACAGATAGATAGATAGATGGATACTGCTCTAAGAAGAGATGTGTACGTACTATGGCAGATAGATATATAGATAGATAGATGGATACAGCTCTAAGAAGAGATATGTACGTACTATGACAGATAGATATATAGATTGATAGATGGATACTGCTCTAAGGAGAGATATGTACGTACTATGACAGACAGATATATAGATAGATAGATAGATAGATAGATACTGCTCTAAGAAGAGATATGTACGTACTATGACAGATAGATATATAGATAGATAGATGGATACAGCTCTAAGAAGAGATATGTACGTACTATGACAGATAGATAGATAGATAGATGGATACTGCTCTAAGAAGAGATATGTACGTACTATGACATATTGATATATAGATAGATAGATATTGCTCTAAGAAGAGATATGTACGTACTGTTACAGATAGATAAACAGACAGATAGATACCGCTCTAAGAAGAGATATTCACGTACTGTTTTTGATGAGTAGATAGATACTGCTCTAGGAGATATGTGCATTCTGTTCTGGATAGATAGATAGATAGATAGATAGATACTGCTCCAACAAGAGATATGCACGGACCTCTATAGATGAATAGATAGACTGACAGAACGATAGATAGATACAGATAAAGGTAAGCAAATATATTTTAAAAAGACGGATGGATTGATTCTAGATAGATTAACATATCGTTAGACAGATACGCAGATAGACAGATTTGTAGACAGATTGGCATTACAACTAGAGAGGAGAGTAGGAAGGTAGGTAGGTAGATCACTGTTCTGAGATGATATTTGAACGTGCTGCTAAAGATAGACACTGTACTAACAGGTATGTCATTACTGATGTGAGCAGACAAACGACAGACAGACAGACAGATACAACCCGTGACTGAACTTCCCAAAGACGGAACCTCCCCCAGTGAAGCTGCTATCACAGTGTACATGATTTACACATACAGCTGAGTATTAACTTCCAAAACACATCAGGAGCATCACCTTGCCATACTCACTTCCAGACATCTATATTTCCGTGTTATCCTCACTGATTGTAGAAATCCTGGGGTATAAACTTCACGCAGCTGACTGACAGCAGGGTGATAAAACAGCGATGTTATGGACCAGCGTCAGGTACGTCCTGCTCGCTCGCTTATCGCCCACAATCTCGGCATGTATTACTGAAGTAGTCTTAACTTGCACAAGTTATGAGTTGGTGTTTTTGGACATTTTCTGTAGTTTGATGGGGATAATCTGAAATTCAGACTCGACGCACGCCATCCCCAGGGGATGAATAAAAAACACAGCCCGATCCACCAGGGAAGCACGAGGTTATTTTTATCGCATTCGCTTGGAACTCAAAATATGGCTGTCAGTGAGCGCCACATTGTACTCATTTCATGAATCAAATTGAAAAAACGGTAATGAAAAGTTTTCTCCTTTCCGGCGTTGCCAATAAAAGATTCGCAATCCCCTCTCCTCTTTCATCCATTCAAAACCTTTCAGCTCAATCCACTTTTTAGTGTCAAGATATTCCCCCCGTGCTTCCCGTATCCCCGGGAAATATACATAAACCTTTCTGTGGCTCAAAGACTACTTGAATATAATGTTTTACTTGGCCAGGAACGGTCTTCCCATGTCATCCTGCTAGGAGCGCCATCTATGTACAGTTGTGTTGCACAGCCTATCAAGCTACCAGGAAATATCTCTTTACTTGTTCAACATCATCATCTACAGAATATCGACAGAAATATGTCGTCCAGATGTAGGGCTATTTGCCAGTATCCTTTTACAGTGTAAACAGGATTTCGTGCAAATGTTTTTCACGTGTTAGAAAGGCGATTGTATCCAAAACGTAACTGGTGTCGATTATTGTCTGTACGCTTCTCAATACCAGCAGCACGGACACGGGAAGATGCAGGTATTGATTACAGGTGTGGAGAAGTTACAGGTGTGTATAAGTAACTGGAACAGCTGACCTACCTATCATCTATGGAGGTATTTTCTGGGAAACTAACGTTTGTTGATTGATTGAAACCGTGGTATGTATACAGATGGTATGTGTTATTCTGTATCAATAAGGCTTGTACTTACCTATCGTCATTAAAGTGTTCTTACTGTTAGGCAAAACATTACAATCCCTGTACACATATACTCAAGGTAGTTGCATTAGGTCGAACTAAATAGAAATGATGTATAGATGTATATCGGTAACCTAGATGACATACGGAATAACTGAGGCAGTGCATGTTTTATAATGCAAAAGGAATTATTATTCAAGTTACTTTACGGATGACTTTCGAATTTTATTACATGCCTGCTAAAGGATACGCTCAATACCCTTTGAATTGTCTTTAACAGTAAACTTACATGTTGCATTTCTTCTTTATATTCGTTCCTTGAACCCAAAACTAGATCTCCAGGAACCCGCTAGCGCGGGCCGTTGCTCTTACCATCTGTCACTGGTTTCACAGCCGCGACTTGATTATTATTATTAGTAGTAGTAGTATCATTATAGGATATTTATATAGCCCACATATCCATGCAACTAGTACATGCTCAAGGCGCTGGGTTTTTCCCCTCGAAACTGACACTCAATCTCAAGGGCACATCGTATTATCAATCTGAAATCCCTGGGGATCATACAACTCTTGCAGCCATTATGGCACCGAGTTATTGGGCTTTCCCATCCCTACGCGGTACACATTCACAGCTGGGTGGACTGGGACACATAGTCACAGTACTTTGTCCACGTTTACTGCACGTTGCTGTACCCGCAACTAGGTGTTTGCACGTATTCATGTGGCCACCATCTGGTCATTTATTCGTGGGTTCTTTTAAGTATAAGTGCACAGAGTAGTGTACTGTACACTAGGGGTTGTGACAACACTGAAATAGTCTGCACACAAAGTTGACTCGTAGGTTTTTACGCCCTGCCACATACAGGTGGGCTCGATTCCGGCACCGCAAGCTCACTGGATCGCCGCCCACCATGCCCGACTTGATCATATACTGGCAGCTGATTTATTGCTAACAGCGGCAAAAAAATAGCAATCATTCTGTTCATATCCGATTCAACAGTAACTATTTAATCTTTAAAGCTAGTATTTATGATATATGGAGGCACAAAGCTAAAACACTGTAACAGTTAAGTGTGATATACGATAAAGGTCGGGGTCTAGATGGAGTTCTCATGGAGGGAACAGTTCAACGAGGGCAGGATCCTACAACATATTCAGACATTGTTTCACTCTCACACATTTAGCAGGAATAGTGTGATAACACGGGTGTAATGACATGAATTACTTATAGAACAGTCATCTCATCTTCACCTGCCCCTCCCTTTACACCTAATCAACACAATTTCTCATTCCAAACTATTAACTAGGATGACGATATATCGGTCAGTTGTTCACCTGATGACGTCCACCGATGCCACGACTAATGCAGTGTCTCAGTGCCTTTGCCCGTATCTTACTGAATGCACGGCTGCCTAGTGTACTGACCAGAAGGAAGATTGACGTGTCATATTGAACCCAATTACGCCTTGCTCCATAGCACAATGATCAGGGTTGATTGTTAAAGACAATATCCTATTCTCCAGTGATGAAACCCTCCAGCTTCAATAGACCTGGGCATCAAGGCCTATAATTAATACACAGAGAGAATGGATTTGAAAGCGCTGTAAAAGAAGAGCTGAATTGGTCAGTTTAGCGGTCAAGGAGGGCAATGTCCCTTGGGAGTAATAGTGGACAACAGTTTGTCCGGTCAGTGTCGTTGGAACTTGTTGCTGGGCAAGGGGGAGGAGAAACAAATGTTTCCAGATGCCATTATCGTGTTAAGGCTGCTAAAATGCACAACGGCTAAATTAATGAATGAATGAGCGAGTGAATTCAGTTTAACGCCACAGAACAATATTACAGTCATATCCTGAAACAGCACCTTGTTGACTACACCGTCAACAGTCCCCGGGTGTCTAATTTCTGGGGACCGAGGCAAACTATCAGTAACGACATGGTATCTAAATGTTTTTCTATGGTCTATTCTAATAGAAGCAAAAATATGTCGGTAGATCAGTCATCCATCAAATGACTTCCTTTTACTAATTAACAAAAAAACAATTGTTGCTAAATTGTCTCGACAAAATATAATAAAAGCACCTTCCTCCACCCCTCCTCCTGTCCCTGTAGTCCCCCAACCCTTGTCCTGTCTCACTCTCACCCTCCACCTGTGCTTCAGTCCCCACCCTCCCTGTCTCTCCACACCCTTCCCCACACCTCCACTGTCCCTGTCCTGTCAGTCCCCAACACCTTTTGTCCTGTCCACCCTTGTCCCATCTC